GATACTCATAGCAAAAGGCAGTCTCAAACCATGAAGACAGCAGTTTTCAATAATAGTCAATATTCCCACACTTCTTATAGAGGTGTGCTCCTGAGAAACCAAACAAAACCCCCTGGACTTGTGGAAAAGCAAGGACTAACAAACAGAAATTATGAATCCTACCAGGTGGGAAGTGAAACAACTGACAGACCTCCAGACTCAGGAAACTGTATATGGTACACACTGATGCCATTGCTTGTTAAAACCTACAGCCCATTTAGATTTAGACATTTGAGACATGAGAGAAATTATCTGAGTGCTTGCCCTTCAAAATGTATTAGAAACTCACAAAAACGAAGATTATTTGCACAGTATTAGCTTCTCTCATTCTGTGCACGTTCCAATGCTCATTACATTACACCAATTTCTTTTTCTTAGGTCACTACAGTTTCTTTCAGCATCCAGGATAAGCAGTTAGTCTCTGCTTTATTCCATACTGATTAAATACTGAGACTTTTATCTGTACATGAGAGTTATCTGCAGTAAATTAAACTCTGGAAATCTTGACTTGACACTCACCTAGAGAGAAACCACCAGGTACTGGCCAAAACCTGCCTCATCTCACAGGAAACTTTGTTAACTGCAGGGATGAAATCTCCTTTGCTAAGGTAACACTCAGCTGTCTAACCCASAKGGCAATTCCTTCTGCTGACACCTCSTGCCTCATTCTTTCAATCAAAGAGAGGGACTCAAGACAAGCAATGCCAAGCAGTTCCAGAGCCATATGATAGCTCTGTCCTGCCACAAAATAGAAGTAATCCAAATGTGTGGACTTACAAAAATATTACAACCAATGTCAACTTGCTCAGGGAGGAACAGAGCAGGCAGTGTGACTGAAGGCAGGGATAGAAATACATGAACACTCCACATGTCAGACAGTAAGTTACAWGCAGTAAGTTACACATTATCCTGTTACACGCAGAATAAAGCATCTCAGTAATTATGTTTTCCACTTTATTCTCAGCAATTTTCCCAATGACACTCAGGATCTTATTTGTTGTTTTCACTCCACAGTATTTTGTGTTTGCTGACACTGAAGCTCAGCTAACATCTGATCACTCAACTGCTCAACACATCAAACCYTTTCTGCAACAGCATCAAATAAAAGCAGCAATTGTAAGCTATTTATATGCTTTACAGTCATTTCAGTGTATATTGAACAAACAGCTTTACTTATTCCTACCTTTTCACTTCTTTAAGTGAGCTGCTAACCTGCCAACAGAATTTCCCTGACTCCCACAGAAGTTTTATGATTGCCTTTAGCAGATGATCCCATGCCAGTAGCTGAATTGAATTTCTAGGTTATAGATAGTGTTTTCCTTTTACTCTGGATGACAATCCACACACACGAAGAAAAGTATGAATTTGCAAAATGACAGGGATTTTTATGGCATTATCACTAGTGCTGTGTCCAAATTTACAAAATAGAGCTTGAATAAAACTTACCAGGCATAGAAAATTTTCTTAAAAACACATAAAACCAAAATAAAACTAATCCATATCCTCAAAGAGTTAAAACATCATTTCCAAGAAAGTGTAAAAAGAACTAAACATATCCCAATGGACTGTGCAAAATTTGGTGACTAAAACACATTGTTTTCCTTGCCTCTCACAGCTTGAATTGAAAAGACGAGAACTTTTATTTATGCTCTGCATGTATGAATGAYTGGGTATGTTAGTTAAAAAGTACTGCCCCTGCAGTGATCATATTCAAGAACATCAGTGTTATACTCTCCCCACCTTCCAGAGCTGCCCAATGACATACCCAATGATACCTGGCAGCCAGAACTCCTCAAACCAGYGTCAAGAAGAGGACAAAATGACTACCCAGAAAAGGGAAAAATATSTATCAACTGAAAAGATTCAAAATCATTTTATTATCTCATGTATTGCAGACTAGTAGGGTCATCTGTAAGGCTGGCAGTACATACCCCCAGAGCCCCCACCTCTGTAAGAGAGACTGGAAGAGCTTCTCTTCCACGTGTCACACACAAACACACGTTTCTCCAACTCAAAGAAAGGGCAAACCTGAAAAAGGTCTTCTAAGACAATGAACTCAAGTAMGACAGAACTTAAATCCATCTAATTTTCTTGGGACAAGAAGTCAATAATGATGTAACACCTCCAAACTCAAACCAAAGAACATTTTATTTCACKTAAGAATTAGAATGACCTTGTTGAAGCACAATTTAGCAAAAGAGATGTCCTAGAATTTAACCTCAAATTTTCCATGTTCACTTCTCAGACTCCAGAGCTTTGAACCCTATGGAAGGAGGCTGTGTGTCCTTAAGTGCATGGGATCTACTTCAATACAAAAGAAATAGGCTCTCAATGCAAATAAACAGTATTAAAACAACCATCTCAGGCTTCCCAAAACTTGGAGCTGAAGATGTATCATTCTAAGCAAGCTCTACAGAACATAAGAATAATGCTAAACTCTCTGTGTCCTAAAGCAATGAAGAATATGCTCAGACCGTACCACACTGGTAAAGGTTGAGACACAAATATTTGAAAACARTAACACAAAAATAAATGGTTGTATCAATTCAGCATTCAGTAATTTTCAAATTAAAAAAAAAATTAAAGGTCATATATGCTCATTTCCAATAGAAAAGGCAATGAAGTGCAATGATGGACTTCTCCCAGTCCATTTAAAAATCATGCYCACTAATCAAGCTGAAATTAGAAAACCTAAAATATTGCCTCAAACCAAAACCTGCCCTTCTGCTCTTGTGAGATTTCTCTCACACAACACAAAGTTGGTTGGAAACAGGTATCAAAGATCCATTCTGATTGTATTAGAGTACTATAATTCATCTTCCCTTAAATTTACCTACTGGGCTTTTTCTCTGTTTTGGTGAGCTCCTTGAAAACAATAAATATGTTTTAGTTCYCTAAAGATGTTTTTGCAGCTGAAAACAGCACAAGGTAGCCTTGAACTAATCATCACAGAACTTATTMATGTTAAATATTTAATTTTCTCTTACATTTAGTTGAAAATCAAGAGAACACATTAGAAGATATTCAACAAAATCACCTTTTATCAGTAGGCAGGGATGCCCATTATTTTAATAAATCCACTGATTACAAAATTTTTTCACTGAAGATAAGTGAAGACCTGCTGGGTGTCACAAGGGTCATTGTCTTTTTTTCYGTCACTGAATGGGTCTGAATGTTACTGAATTGGTTAACAGGGTGTGATATCAGAAAGTGCAAACACAGAGGAAAGCAAACTTAGTATATTGTGATAGCAGGGACTATTCATTTACTTGCTTGTATGTGTTTTCGTAACTACACTGGAGAATGCAATTCTGCAACAAAAAATTATAATTTCTGCTGCTAATTTATCCAAGTAGATGTGAAACACTCCCAAATGTTGGTCACAAATATCACATAAATTCAGGCCTGAGACAAGAGGACAGAGATGATGTATCTCCACAAGACAAAGCTTATGTGGTAGAATTAAAAAGTTGAAACACTTGTTTRAGTACTTCAGGAAAAGCAGGTGGTAGTGAGGTCAAGGCAGTTGCCAGGACCATCACATTTTGTTCCCTTCAGCTGCTGATGGGAGGGCCCTGCTCTCAGACAGTRAATGAGTTCCATGTGCCAGAGTGACTGAGAAGCATCTCCCAGAGAAGCAGGGAGAGCAGAGAGGAAGTGAGCAGAGCTTTCACTAAGCAGGTGGCAGCTCTGGTATTTCCTCATTATGTCATCTCTTCCCCAGCCTCCCTCTTTTGGACCAGGACTGGCTTTCATGTGGTTCACAAACCCTGTCTGCTCTCAGTGCCTGCAGATCTTAATCAAAAGCAGGCAATAAACCAACACTGCTGCAGGTAGTGCAAAAAYCATCCAAATGATATTCAGCAAACAGGCTAAAGGAAAGAGGATATTTTGCTACAAAACAGCTGACAATTTGACTTGAAAATGATACAACTTAAAATACACCATCTTTCAAAGTTTTAACAAGAGAGACAAAGCAGCTCAGAGGAAACACCTCAGTGAGAAAAGCAAGCAATCCAGACCTTTCCAGGACCTWAAAGGTATTTCTCAAAAACCTGGACTTCTAATGGTGTACCTGTCCTTGAAACTTACCTTGGAAYATCATCTTTTACAACAGCCTCTGACTTGTGGATGTCTAATAAATCTTAAACTCACATCTCATTCTAACTGCTAGAAGATGAAAGCAGCTTTCGAGGAATCACTTAATACAGGTAATTCATCATAATATGCTTAGGGGTACCTTGGAATGTTACCATAATAAAGAGATGGTGCAGTACACTCAGATATATTATGACTGTGACACAATCTGAATGTTCTTTCTTCAGACTTCTAAGCATAAGAGCATATGGAGCATTTGTCTGACGAGATTTAGAGATTTATCTGAACAGCAGACATTACTTATAAGAACAAATACTGGATGAATCAAGGAGCATGTATGGAGAGTGTTTAATCTTTAGTATGCCAGCTTAAAACTATAAAAGTCAATTGACTCCAATAGTTTGGAGGGCCTGCAAAATGAGTTGGTGTAGTCTAGTTCTTTCAGAAACCGCTGCTATATTTTTTGTCATTGTTGGTAAAGGGCAAAACATGATTAAAAACAAAGGTACACAAAACTACAAGAGGGTTAAGGCAATAAAAGTACTAAAAAGTGTTAGAAAGTATTGCAGAAGTGATATAAAAGCAATCTTCTGACAAAAAAACCTGTTAATCTGTTACCTTCASAAGCCAATCCAGCGATATTGTAACTCCCTAGTCTGCCAGTGACTTTAATGAAACCATCCCTTCTCCAAGTTCAAACACATCCTGCATCAAGACAAACACCTTTCTTCCTATCAGCTGAAATATGTGCAACAGATGAGCACTTTTGAAATTAAAYGCTGCATTTGACACTAGAAAAACAGTAATTTCTCTTGATCTCTGTGCTCTTCACTAAAACACTGAAGACATGTGACAGCTCATACCTGAGGCCGCATCCTCGGGTTCCACCTGACGTAGTAATTCACCCACAGCTCCAAATGGTTCAGACTGGCAACAGGATACAGCACATGGTTCTCATAATTTACATAGAAGGGATTTGTGAACTCCTCTAATTGGCTGTTAATATAGGACCACAGAGATACAGTCTTTGTGCTCACCTCCTAATTGAAAAAAAAAAAAAAGTTAAAAAAATTTACTGACATGGATTGCAAAATCTTAAAGCATGATGTTATTATCTACATATCAGTAATTCTCTCTGAAATTTACCTTATCTACTAGAAAACAACATGCAGTCTGAGAACACTTCCAGTAGCTGTTCATTAAACAGCCTTAAAACCTTAGCAAGGTCCAAGGCTTCTGGAGAAAGGAGACTTAGGCATAGCATTTTCAGAGACTAAGGTCTACTTGAGCAAAAGCAACCTGTACTGCTCATAATTTACAGCAACGTTCACAGCTACTTAAATAAATGATTACATACTGATCAACTAAACTAAAAAAATAGCTTTTAACAGGAAAATCAGTGAAGAGATAGAAAGTTTTCAAGATCCCAACAGTGTCTGTGAAAAATAGTTGTTCAATTTTCCCACTCATACTATTTTCTCCTTAGAGGTAATTGATATTATGCTTTACACTGACTATTCTTACCTTTATTTGCACTTCTGAAAGTTGTATTATTCTAAATTAAATCAGCATAACAGTGGTTAGATCAAAGATTGGAAATCTGAACTTACATCAGATTCATCTTGCAATTTTAAACTCCTTCAGTGTTTRTAAAGCATGTGTTTCTACTACCGCTGTGTCTTAAATTGCATTTCTTTACTGAGAACTGCATCTGACTATTTATTTATTAAAGAAAGCTGTCTGGAAACCCTGCATTTGCTGAGAACATGTTATTCAGCTCCATCTTGTGGTTTTTACATGCAACTTTTCTCCTACAGAAGCAGTAGAGACAAACCAAAAAAAAATCAGAACTAAATATAACAAGAAATTGTAACCTTGTCTAAAAATATGAGGTAGTAAAATCACAAAGCCACAAGAAAGCAAAAGTTTACTTGGAATATTAACAAGCTTCTAACTCTTTTTCACAAACACAATAGTATTTATTGACTCCTAATTTAATTTATTTAGATAATTTAAATTTTTGTAGTCCTCAACCACAAGCTCATTCCTATAGGACAAGTTAWGTCCTATAGTAACCTGCCAAGTCATACATAGGAATTCCTTTGGAAATAGTGAAAGAAATGCTAATATAATTTGATAATTACTATTATTTAAAATTCTGTAATTTGGATAAAAACACCCGTAAGAGGACTTACTGAAACCCTCAACCCCCCAACAGATTGTAACTAAAGAAACCAAGGTGCCATCTCAATAACAGGGCATTCAGTACATTTTTCTCATACCATGAAATTTATTATCTTCATTGTTTTTTAAGACTGTGATAAAAGTATCCAAAACCACAGCTCAGATATTCTTAGGTCTTGTTTTCTGAGCATTTTCATATAAAATCAGAGAACTAAGAATGTGCATTATAGTAATTATTTACCTCTTTTAATCTTTCTTTTTCACAGTTGCATAAGAAAGTCCCAAAGAGACAACTGTAAAGGTGATCCAGAATGGTGATCAAAAATAACTCGTTGAATTCAAAGGCTGCAGGAAACTGGTATTAAAAAAAATGGTAAAATTACCTTAAACTTAATTTTAAGCAGTGCAGAAAGGAAGAATATCAGACATAAGAAATAACCAAATAATTCAGGTAAGATTTTTTTCTTATTTAGGGATTATTTTCAGGAAAACTCAGCGATTTCCCCCTTCAATAAAACATGTACTACTTTACTTTATTTCTCAGAGCTAAACTGTACATTCATTACCCAAGTATATCAGAATACAAACATTATCTGATGTGAAACTGGTGATACAAAGCAATCCATTCTAAGAAGCTCTAACAGTATTCTGGTTTACCCCAAACACTCTTAAACATATACTTTATCTCTCTTCTAACAGGACAAGAAAACATTTGGGGGAAATAAAAAAAGAGAAAATAAGATAATGACATTCAAGAGTTTTATTTCCTATTCCAACATGCAATGAACTGAACAAAAAAGACTACTGCACATACATTATGCTTAACATATCTTTAAAATTTTTCTTTCACTTTTTACTCAAGTAAGTTACTTTTCTCCATTTGACCCCCTGAGTTTACCATCAGCTATATACAATAAGCCTTTAATCCCTCTTCTTCTGTATGAGAAAGCAAATCCTGTACATCTGAAATGAAAGAACTGTTACTCTTCTGAGCACCATCCGGTATTTTATTTACAAACAGAGGTTACCTGATATATTCTAAGAAAAGGAGTCACAAATTTGAAAATGTTTCTCCTAATCTGTAGTGCTCTAAAAATTCATAAAGGAAGAAATTACTGGAAACTGCATGGGCTGCTAATCATTCAGATGGAAAAAGTCCTTCTTCAATCAAATTTTATGGTAGGGCTAYACATAGTAACTGCTTGATGTGTCAAAATAACTTCGTGTTCAGTATGACAAGGGCAGCAAACACAGACATGCAATGACAGACATTTAGAAGAATAAAAAAATGAGAAGACTTAAGGAAATCTGAAGAGTTAGCATTTCTCTCCTTAACAATAAAGAGCATGTTGTAAGAAAATAATTTTCAGGACAAATGAAACAAACTTTGTGCATTTCCACTAAAAGAGTAAATCTTCACAGAAGACCAAAAGTTTTAGATTCATAAGGCAGAATTTCTTGCTATATGGAGAAATCTTAAGTGAGATTTCTTCAAATGTGCAGAAAGCAGAGGACTGGTTTGTTTTGTGCCACTAAAGAGCACTGAACACCTTGGCAAGTGACTCAAGAGCTACTTAAAATAAGAAAAGATGACTCCTATAGTTATGAGGAGTAACAGAGCAMTTGGGACTGTGGGTGAACTAGCTGATCCAGAAATTCCTCTTCAGGGTCAGCTGTGATTTATGAAGGGTAAATGTTTATTCATGTTGAAAGGGAAGTTGAATAACACACAATGGGTGTGCTTGTATTAAACCCAAAAAGATCTAAGTTTTAAACAATGTTCTATAAAAAGAATATTGATCCAAGTCAAACATTGTAAAAACATACTTTTTCCAAGACTTCTCAAGCCAATATATATACCAACTTTTGGAAAATTTTGAGTAAGGAGATTATCAGCATCACGACACAGAAAATGAATGGGAACATTCCTTCTTATGACCCTGCTACAGACTGTGCACTGTTCATCAGCACAGTGTGCTCACACTTGGGCTTCTCYTGCAAATCACAGGTTGTTTTCAACCTCCTCACCATTTGCTCCCATAAGACATAGAGGAAATTAAGGTTATCAAAATGTCTTTTTCAGTCATGTTTTTAAGTTACTACTTTTGAACTTCCTTCTCTCTAGGAAATCGTGCCAAAGCTTAATTAGAAAACAATGTTAAAAACACAGCTATTACTTTAAGGAAGTATGAACAGAACTTGACAAACAGGTGTGCCTGACCCAAGGCAGAAGAAAACTCAGTCGGTCTCAGACYTCAATCTGCTGTGTCCAGCCAAAAGCAACAATCACATACAGAGAGCAAAAATAATTTGCAAAGCATCAAAATGATACTTCGAAAAAAATTTGAAGACAAAGTGTCTCCTAAAGGGACTCTCTTTAACTGAAAGCATTTAATGAGCCTTGTCACATCAGGGTTCTGTGTTGTGACAGGTCCATACCAATCAGACGGATGCCGMCATGGCCACTATTCCAATCCAGTGAAGCATATTCAAAATTCCATACATCAGTGGTTGCACTCCAACTAATTTATTAATAAGTGATAGCACTTCATTGAAACCCTGTCTTTGAATACAAGAGTTGTACTGTTGGAGCTGATGTATCAAGACTGTAAAGCTTCTATTACTGCTGCTGAAAAAATCACTGACCTAAAAATGCCTTCCTCTGTAGTTCCAAGCCCATTAGCGTCTGTTTGAAGATTCAGGTGGAAAAATTCCCCAAATGGAAATTTACTTCTTGTCAAACCCACTAATTGTGAGAAAACACATGGGTCATTAAAATCTCCTACTTGTTGCTGCTGGAGTTGTTGGGGGTTTTTGTAAAGTGGCATTTTAAAAAGGGAATTATCTTGTTTAAGTCGGATGATGCCAAGTGAAATTTGATTCAGAGACATGCAAAATACACTTCCTTTTTAATCAATGAACTCCTTCTGTACTACAGTAACATTTAACATTGAAACACTTGGCAGAAAACTGCAATGGACAATAATGTTTAACTGAACACTAGACACAGGAACARTGCACTGCTGAATCCAGTGAAAAATGCACCTCCAGCAACAGCTGACACTCAGTAACAGGATGAAACTTTCTTCTGACTTTAAACAAACCTTCCCCCTGTGAGGGTTCTGTGCATGAAAGGTAGGAAGTTAAAACTTGCAGTGCTACATGCAAATTTTACAGTTCTGTTTCATTTTTAACCAGGCATCAGTGTTACATCAGCTCACATGTGGCCTTTCCAATTTGACATCTGCTATTCAGTATCACCAGAATTTACTAACAGAGGAGGGAAATCACTTCACCATATGTTGTTTTATCAAAATCTGATGTCAATGTACTTCTCTCAAGTTCTCTATTATCATTATTTGTGTGTCATGAAGACCATAAACCCAATGGAAAATATAAAGTTCTCAAGGACTAAATTTCATTGTCTGAAGCTATCTGGAAATTTGTATCTTAATGGGAAGTTAAGAGATCCTCTCACAGTTTTAAAGTGACTGTTTTAAGAATGAAACTCTTAGACCCCAAAAGAGCCTATTTGTTTGCTTTTACCCCATGCCCAAAACAGAGCCCTCACACCCTCCTAAAGTCATTAACACTTATTTGAGCTTCAGAACATTACACATAAGTTTACCATGAATTCTAAAGCACAAAACTACAATTCTTTTGTAGGCAAGTGATCTACACAATCAGAAAATAAAGCCCTTGTTTGAAAGGTGTGTCAAGATAATCACAGTTTTCACACCTATTCTCTAAGTGTTCAAGTCAACCGAAAAATAAAGTCACCAAGAACTATTCAAGAACAACTTTTTCTATTTTTTTCCTGTCTAACATTAATGATTTTTTAATGTCACTGGTGTTTGTGAATTTCAGAACAGTTTCTGGATCCAGGTTTTGAACAGATGTAGTATTGGCAAAATGTTTCATGGATTCCCCCCTGCCTCCAYGCCTTTCTGTTTTTCAAACTAGAGGGAACTAAACTGTTTATAGCAAGAAAYAGGAGGCAGCAAGGGAGATCACAAAAATAGAAGAGGCTGCTCTCAATTAAGGATCTCCCCAGAGAACTTTTGTTCCTACCAGGTGTTTAGAACTGCTTCTCTTCGCTATTGTTATTAGCTCTCCTCTGAAAGAGGGACAGGATTTTACATTTGTTTTCTCCAGCCATACTAAACAGCACATTAATACTGAAATATAGATATGCAGAAAGTCTACACGACACCCTGGACAAAATCCCAGTATAACAGCAGGGAACTTTCATTAAGCATAGAAGATGACTGTTTTGAACACAAGTTTTGGAAACTATGATGTAAGTTTTTAAGAACCATGTTCAGAGCAAGAAGCCCAAGGTAAGAGAACTGGGAGTGCTAGGATCATATGGAAGCACACTGTTACCCTCCTCCCTTCAAAACAAATCACATACTAAACAGACTTYAGTATAACAGCTTTTACCATAAAAGCCATGTTAGGCTTCAAGGAGGGAAAAAAAGGAAAGAAGAAAATAGAAAAGAGAGAGGGGAAGGGAAAAAAAAAGAGGAGTCAAGCACCAAGAACTTCTGAGTCACTTGGAAACAAAGCCTTCACATGSACAACCTGTTTCAGTAACCCCAATAAAGAATGGCAATAGAAAAGCTCACAGAAACCTTAGGGTTTTGCTCATGGAGGTATAAATAAGGARAATGGAGACTAAATCCATTCGATAATTTAATGTTTCAGAACAACGATGAGAAGTCATCTTAAGTATCACTAATTTCCAAGATCTCGTCTGATCTAGAGGTAAGAGCAGTGACAGAAGTAAGAAAACTTATCAGAGAACAGGCTTGTGTTGGAGAAATGCTGTCCTGCATGCATAAGGATGAAAATGTTAACATTTGAGACATAYATAAAAGAACTCTCTAACACACTCRGTTCACAATCAGGTCAGATTTTTGCCATTTCTTAAAAGAATATAAATACATACATTTACTCCACCAGTGAACATGCAACATAGACCATTTATCTCATCAGTAACTCTTATTTATGTAAACATCAACCCCTTTGTAAGCCTATTTTAAATAGAAAAAGTGCTGATATTTTGGTTTCAAGAAAAMAATTCTAGCTCCTTGTACCTCACTTCGAGCAGAAAACTGCCCTGTGTGTGCACAGTGCACCCACAGAGCAACCAACTTCAGGTAAACATGCTACGTCTCTGTTAAAGGAATTTGTTCTACACAAATTATGTTCCCRAGATAAARGCTGATACCTCATAAACTCTCAGGCATCTTACCTGCTTTGTCATTTGCCAAACACAGTCAATGAACTGAAGGAAAATRGGGGATCTGTCAGCATCTGCATGATCATCATCTCCATGTCCCACTCGCTGCAAGTCAGAGCACACTGCATTTCAGTCTGGTGTGTCTGCAGTACCATCCTAACACTGCAAAGCTCAGGAGCTCTTAAATACATTCCAGCAGTGAACAAGACAAGCAAATCTTCCATAACGCTGACCTGCATTTTTCAGCTACTAAAAATGCATCCCAATATTCACATGCCTTCACTGTTGAGCAGAGCTAGAAAGCTGTACCAGTTGTTTGCCCATCTTCTACTGCACAGCCACTGATTTCTACCAGTGGATGAAACTGCCAAGTATTTATTATGACTGAACTGAAACAATGGTTATTCCATACCCACCTGTCATAACTACATGTCATTTCTACTAACCATCTTAAGAGTCAGAGCCCACAGAATGTCATAACAATTTATTCTAATTCCCCATTAGCTCATGTGTTAAATAAACACTTCAACCTTAAATCAGAGTAATAGTTCCAGCAATTTTACACTCCAGACACCTTAAYTGTTTTCCTTGGTTCTCCATTCATAAGCTCCAGAACATAAGTTACAATCCCTCATCCATATAAAAAAGCCACATGACTTTTTCTAACCATTGCATTCAGACCACTTCATTTTTACTTATTTTATATTATACCTCACATGGAGGCTTCCCGTTAAAAATGAACAGGTCACAGCTCTCTGACACACTCAGATCATTAAAAGGACACCAGAGACAATAACTAAAATGCAGCCAAGTACTGTGWGAAAACGTGCTATTTAAAACAGAAGCCCTGAAGATAACAAACTGCACACWAAACTTTCCAGCTTACCATTGCAAATCGATGTCCAAAACTTATCCATTCTTTCTCTACAAGAACTTCAAAGCCTTTGATGGTTCTGTAATAGCTGTCCAGCATAAGCATGGCCAGTGCAGTGAGCTGAGCAGTTCGATCCCAGCCATCACTGCAGTGCACCACTACAGAAGTTTTACCAGATTCAATTTTATCCGCAATTCTTACTGCTCCGGCAAGAAGCATCTTAAATAAAAATGAAGAGACAAGCATATTAAATACTACTCAAAACTCTTAAAAAAATAAAAAACTTACAATTTTATACTCTTAAAATCATGGTGTTTTAAAAACTCAGATTAATTAAATAATCATCCTGATGATAATGCTTTAAATTAGAGATTTCCAAAGAGTGGTATGCYTACTCCTAGAGGAGTGTGTGCACTCTGCTGTCCAAGTCAGCGCTCTGACCAGCTCTCCATTATTAGCAGCACGTAACAAGTGAACTTGGGAACCCCTTCTCTAAATCAAYTGATATTCTGTATTATGACAAAAAGACACCAATACTGTAATCTATTCCAAAGACTGAAGGTTCACTTCCCATTAATCAATCACTCTTTCTTGCTCCACTTYCAGTTCAACTGAAACTACTGAGTTTAGAGAAAGGGATAAATCATCCAGCCAATGTAAATCGAAACACAACCCAAACAAACCCAGAAACTCCTGGCTGGGAGCCTGTTCTGATTCGTTGGTGCATGAAGTATACTTTGTATTCAGCTTCTGAGCTGACATCAATAGCCTGGATTTGGGAGCAATGCAGGAGAGCACAGGATAGAGATGGCACAGGACTGAGATCACCTGTGTGAACTTGTTATTCTTCTCCCCACTGAAAATCACACCTCTCTTGTTCCCTGATGTCACCCTCWAGTTTTTTAAAAACTTAATAATTTCCCTCCTGTGAAGATTTGTCTCTAACATGACCTATCATGGCACTGAAAAATACGTGGAGAAAAAAAAAAAACAACCACTAGAAGTGGGACCACAGGAGAGATTCCAATTCTGCATTCCAACATCAGAAAAYGGAATCTTGCAAAATATTTGCACTTTCCCCTTCCCAGGCACACAAAAACATCTTCAGGGAAGTAGGAAAGCCAGCATCTGCTGGAGAAGCTGTGCACAGGACCACTCTTCAAACCTATTTCAAGAATCATGCTTCAGAGACTGTTTCCATTGATTATATCTTTCATTGAGTGTATCTTTTATGGTAAAACTTAAGGATGGAAGGATAGAAATATCAAGAAATAATATAACTGTCTATGAGAGAGCAGTTTGTGGCCTGCATAGTTAATTGCCAATTATTTCAGTTAGAAAGTTCTACTGAACAAAGAGCAAATATTTAAACAGTTTGGTCTTCAATAAAAGCAGAAAACTAATCTATTTAACATACAGGTATGCAATAGCTTGCTCTAAAGAGAACACAGATGCCTCTGAAGGAGAACAGCTGGAAATAAGCAACAGAACAAATACAGGAAATGAACAGAGAACGGGAGACAGAAAACACATTTACTATTAATGCAGCAAATATCTGTGGAGTATGTGAAACATTTTATTCCACTTYGGACAACAGCCTTCAGAAAACAGCTTCCTCTACAAATTTATTATTCTTTATAGATTTTTTCAAAACTTAGTAACCATCACAGTATTTCAGTTAGAGCCCCTAATGAATAATTGGCTTTGGATTGGTTTRGAAAATGAGAATTGAAAAAACAGTTAATAGTACAAGTTCTACCCTGAGACAGAAAATATTCTGGGTGTGCAACAAGCACTAAGTGACTCTACTCGTGTTGTTATGAGCAGTTAACACTCTGTCTTCACACACAGAGAGTTACTGGTGCCTTCACAGACACTCCTGGCTCATCTCTGAAGTGCAATGGGTAGGAAAGTGCCTAGGGGTAGGAAAGTGAGTTTCAGTTATACATTGCATTAAACTGGGACACAGCCACACTGGTCTGAGCCCAGAAAACAGCAGATGTGTTAAGAGTAAAGCTGTGGATTGTTAATTGTTTACAAGCCAAGTCAAAAAGCAAGAAAGGCAATGGAGACTTGGAAAAAAGCTCAGAGATACTATCAACACTGTTAACAAAAWAATGGCAGCTTTTAAGAAATCAGCCTGCAGTTTCTGCTGCCAGTACCATTAACGTGAAGTAGCATTAAGGGACACATTAATGAAGAATGTCACACGTGTGTGAACTCAAGAAGAATTTAAATGAAATTTCCAATTGCTATGCTACTGTCACCTGTCTGACCRTGGTACCAAAGCTCACTTCTGCCTAATCCAGGAACCCCACTACAGTCAGCAGCAATTAAAGGTGACCATGGGCACAAAACAGACTACTGTATTTAAGCCCAGGCTGRTAAGAAAAGGTTTCCAGATACGCAGACTATCAAAGCTGTTTCAAGTAGTTCAAATTCAAAATAACAAGAAAATTATACTGTTTCCAAAATATCATTAAATTTGACTCCTAATTTTGTGTTTGCTCCCTCTACTGGCTCTGCTGCAGTTGTCAGCAGGCACTACTTAACRGAGTCAAACTAATGAAGAATCACAAACATGTTTTGCATGAGTGACATTTGAGCCAGCTGCTAATAAAACAAATTACACTCCATCCATATTAATCATAAACAGGGGATTGAATGTGGTAATGAAAATCTACTCTAAARTAATTTCAAAGGTTAGTGAAACTGACTGTAAAAGTGAGCGTGGTAGTGATTTATTTTAATATTATGTTAGATAATAGGGCAGATGATAACCCAATAGATCATTAACTACAAACAACCCATGAAAATGTACGTGCCCATCACAAGAACAGAAACATTGCWTTGAAGGAGGGAAGGATGAGAAACATTGCAGAATTCACAGTCAAGCCCTTTTGGCACTGGCTCAAATACGATCTGAAGTTCCCAGGGCGTTCTTCCAAACAAGAGGGATAACCCTGGACTGCTCACWAACATTCCTTCTCAAGAAAATAAAACATGGTCCAGCAGTAAATATGATACTGTGTTATTGGGAATTAACTCACTATCTGCCAGTACATAAAGYTGGAAATACAAAGTTATTACGGAATGCTTAAAATGCTGCTTTCTAAGCAACTATTTAAGAATAAAACTTATTCACAAGACTATCCTGATCAAAGCAACATGCTTGAGTTTCAACATTATTTTAGCAACATTTTCAGGAGTGAAAGTTAAAAACATGATTTAAAAAAGTAGTTGACTTTTCACATCAAAAATACTTTACTCTTATATATTCCAGCCAGTGTGTGGAGTCCACGTTTGACAACCACCGAGTCTCATCAATAGTAGGATAAACGATTTCTTTAAGTTTACGCAGGGATTCTCTCATGACATGTATATTATGAATCTCCAGGAAGACCAGCTCTGCATTTGGGTAGGCACTTTCACTTTCGTATCCTCCACCTTTTGCCTGTCATTCAAAAGGTAAAAACAGACAATGAGAAGAACATGTATAGGACTTCAGTATAAGGTTGAATGAGTTATTTTGCTCAAGTTTCAGTATTTTCTGAAACAAGGGATTATTTTAGCCCTATAAAAACATATTTTTGGCTTTCTTATCTTCTTTCAACATCAGTTCTCCACATCCTGATATCTGGCTCAATCTTCAGCCTTGTAGTAAGGACACAATTAATGCAAGTTATCATACCAACCTACCTTGTTTGTATCTGCCACACTATTCTGCCTAGCATCAAAGATGATAAGTTTATGTGACTGAGCATTGGCATCCATTATTGTCTGCAAATACTTTTCATCTTCTTTGCAACGCTTATCATTTGGGCCAACTGATGGCTGGCTGCATCGTGTTATTGTTGCTTGGCTCTCAGGATGAATCCAGGATAACACCTGGAATAAGAAAAAACTATTTATAAAAGCAGCAGGCCAGAGAACAACTAGACAATCACATTGCCTATATGGTATTATTTCCTGGCWACAAATGTAAATTTAACGACAGGCTGATGCAAAAACATATTGACAGCAAACCATCATTGACTGCTCATCTCAAATCTGAGCTCAAAATACAGTGATTATAAACATCTTGGCTTTTATTTCTAATAGCAACTAAGCCTGTATCATTCTAATTAGAGAAAAAAAAGGCAATGAAGTAAGAAAACTGCTTCCATGTGGAAGGCTATGGACCTGTACACTACCTTGCTAAGCATTAAAACCAGTATCATCTAACATATTTCAAGGGGTCTAATGCTACCTGCAAARCTTSTYTGTTCTCATGCAAAGCTATGGCTAWGACACAKTYTGCTCCAAATCAGAACACAAGCTAATACACGCTATACTATCAGATATCATTGTGGCCTAGAAGTGCTAACTCCAAAGGAAAAGCTTCCTACTTAGCACAGTAACTGTGCAATTAAACATTTAAGTTGTTCTGTTCAGTTCTAAACCCATGGAGCCTAACTCTTCTTCCTTTGCCCTCCACCTCATCTCAGGAAGGAAGCCATCCCACTGTTACTCAAAATTGAAGCCTAAAGGAACACTCATAATTTCTTATAAGCTACAAATTTCTACAAGCACTTATATCCTCGTGTACAAGTTTCACTTACAGGAACTCTCCCTTTTGCTCTAAATGCTGCCACTTTGGAGAGGTCATCATCCTTTACACTGGTTGGCACAACAAGAACAGCAGGATATGTATCACAAAGCTCATAGGTGTTGTTAATTTTGGATATTTTCCAACTCTCATTGGGCAAACCCTGTATGAAAGCAAAACAGTTTTGAAATTTTCAGGTTAGACCTTTAAATATCTGAGTTTGGGGAAATGAAACATTTCATGTGCTGCATATTTTTTTAAAAATGGCATGCCCACATTTTTCTTTAAAATAAGCTATAAACTTAGGTCTTCATACTGAATCATAAACCAATGGAAGTCTTTCCTACTAAACTGATATGGAAATGTAGATTTAAAATTACAAACTACACTTACTCTTCTGTTTAATGCTGCTTATTCAAAGCCAAATTTTGATAATGCCTATATTTTGTAGAAACAGCACTTGAAAAATGTGGATTTCAGAACCATATTAAGTTAGACAAATTTGCTCAAGTACTTATTAGCACCTGTATCTCCATCAACTTTAGCAGGTGCTCAACACACTCAGGCCACTTGCAATTTATTATCTAAACATGAGATGCAGACAGTCACTCTATGTAGCAAGAGCTGAAAATGAAGAGTTTTCTGTAACACTTCTTCCTTGCTTAAATGGCTCTGAGGCAGATGGAGAAAAAAAAATACACCAAGTACTTCAATAACTTACCTGCCTCTTATATTCTGCCATTGGATCATACACTTTCCAGCCATTAACAGAGAACTTTTCCTTATAGCTGAATGCAAAAAGAGGCTAAAGACAACAAAACAAAGGCATCAATTACTGCCTGATGGGCTGAATGTAYAATAAGCTCCAACACAGTGAACACTTCACTATTTCAAATCCCACACTTCTACAACTYCTGAACAGCAGACATAACACCTTGAGTCATTACTGGAAAAGACTGAGCTAGAAAGAAGATGAAAACTAGTTTCCTCCGTTGAGTTTAAAGTTAACAAAATAAAGAGAGGAAACAGAAAGTTAAAGTTACTTGTCTCTGATCATACGACACATGAATGGCAAGGCCAAGATGAGAATATTGGTTTCCTGTCTCCCAACCAGTTCCTCACCCATACAAACAAATGAAATAGAATTCTGCAGCTAACTAATAACAAGACTAATTGCACCGACTTGTTGTATTAGACAGAACTTCTAGATTGAATTATCTAACGCAGAAAGTAAGAGTCAATGCTTACATATTTTTAATCAGCAACATTAGGCAAATTTAGATCTCAAGGGTTATGCACAAATTAACTTCACCATAGCAGGACACAGCAATGTTTGATGAATTAATGCAAAAGCAAACAGGGTCAGAGTGGCCTGCTCGCTCTAAAACAGATTTGAGGAATCAACACTTCAGAACTTCYTATACAGCCCTTGTATTTCCACCCYTACATTTTCCCAGAAGAGAAGAGCCAGTGACAGCCTCCTCTCCATCTGCAGACTTACCAGCCCATTAGAAACAGGAAATGCACGTGTTACAAGGTTTTCAAAGATCTCCAATCTGTTCTGCTCTTCCTGTTTATAGGCCAGCCGCAAATTTCTCATATCCTGTCAAAAATAAGTTACAGTTYTATGATAAATTCTTAAAAAAGCAGTTATAAGACATTTGACTGAATGAAGGCATATATGAAACACTAAGTCACTGACATCATCTAACCCCCAAYAGAACAGAGTTCTGAAAGCATTAATGTGAGATAACTAGGACTGTCATTAGAGATGTTTGATATAAAAATAGCCACTTTTCCTTTGAATTCACTCTTGAGACAAAAGGCAGAAGTGTTTAAGACTGCAAGTATCATAGAGGAATTGAAATATCTAAATGAAGCATGGTTCAAACACAGGGAACTGATCAGAGAGAAAAACAGCACTTGGGCTGGCAGATTCTTCTTGMAGAAAAATGAAATGAAAATACTTTAATATTAATAAATGTCTACCATTCCTTACCTTGCAAACTATTTCTATACCACATGAATTGTCTCCATGGCTCTGTACTCCAATTTTTTCAACCCTACTTATAACTCCAAGGGGAACATCAACAACAAAAGGTGGATCCTGAAATTTGTATATAAAACAAATGAATTTTATTACATTAGAAGAAATACAAATTAACATTATTCATGTGTATTTCATTAGAGCCAACAATAATTCCTGTTCAGTAGACTGCTGTGAGACATCGTACTTCACAGATTTTGTTACTTACTGAAATCTACTTCAGCAACATTCCTACCTGAAACATCAGGCTGACAGATAGTGAAGTCTTACCCTCTCAACACTTTTGATAAACATTCTGAAGTCCGTCACTGTTAGCGTACCACTGACTGCTCCCATAAATGGACAGATATACATGACATCCTTAGCTGGAAAACACATCAATTAAAGGTTTGTTTTACTATTACAGACATTTAGTTCCATAACAATCTATTTTCATGTGAAACTGAAAGACTTTGGCAGCTCTGTAAGATTTTGATGCTTGACCTCTTTAGCAAAGCTTATTCTTGCTGAGTTATTTTTATGCCACCAATGAAAGCAATCAAATTCCTCAGCCCCACTGCTCCTCAGAGCTCCTGAGSACCTGGGGCAGGGCTGCAGCAAGGGCAGGCAGGTCCCCAGCACCCTGCAGGTACCCCTGGCTGCAGGCAGCTCTGCTCCTTGCCCTGGAATGGAGAGCACCCACACTCACCCTAAAGACAGAGCATCCAAAGGGAGGATCCACACACACCCAACCTCMAAGTAGTTCAGTTCTATGCCCATATCTTCATTAGCACTTTCATTTGGTGGTATTCTTTCCTAGTCAATACTGCACTGCTAATGCAGAGCTTGCTGTCACACACCGGAGTGAAATAAATCCCACTAAGAACTGGAAACCAAGCTAACCATAACTTCTTCTTCTTTGGTATTAAAATTTTGAGTCTATGACGCATCCTTKGCAACCCCAAGCAGACATATAATACATGTACCTATGGAACAAAAAATCTCTAGAAAAAAAAAAATTATCTATATGGAGCAAGTCAACCTCTGGATCTGATTTCTCCTTCCTACACTCAGATTTAAAAGACAAAGAAAAGAAATCCACATCTAATCAGCTAATCTAAAATGGCATTATATTAAATAACAAGAGTCAAAAGGAAATAATATTCTGTTTTGAAATAAACTAGCAATTTAATAATATTCAGTGCAGCACTCAGTAGTACACTTACCRATAACTTTGATTGATTCTCCAGGAAAAAGTGGAGCCTCTTCCATCTGTGCCAGTTTGTTTCCATCCCGCAGTGCCTGGCAGAAATCCAAAATCATGAGTAAATCTCACTCTCCATCTGTACCACATCGATATATTTTGATGCAAAGTGCTTTTACTACCAGATTACTGGAACACAAGAAGTGTGTCTTTTTTTAAATCACACAACTGTACTAAACAGTACCACAGTAAAAGAAAAAAMCAAAAAACAACCAAACACAAAACTTTGTATCATAAATATAACACAGACACACACGTCAGTAACATATTAGTAACAAAGCAATTATGCAACAATTAGTTTCACATGCTAGCTACATATAGCATACAAAAATATGAACAATAAGATCAGCCCAAATTAGTAATTAATAATTTGTTAGTGTTTTGCTGAATGCAGGTAATATTTGGGATATTTTATCAATTTGAGAAGATTTTAAAGCTCTTATTATTTTAATTTCAATTCTAATSTTGCTTATTAATATTTGAGTACTTTCTTCTGAGAGCATTATATGGTAGAAACCTTATTTATTTAACATTTTAACTTTGTGGTTTTGGCAGCAAGAAGCCCCACAATGCTCTATTTCAACTAATACCTTACTGAGAGTGCCACAGGTTATGGAATAGGTTCATTATAGGAATTTTGYGTCCAGAAGGTCAGATTAAGAACAAAGTAATAACAAAATATAGAAGAAGAATTAGCATTTAAAAATAACGGTTACTTTCTTAAATTTTTATTTAACTAAATGGCTTAATTCCTGAATGATACATGATGGATTCTTTGGGTCTTTTATTGGCAGCTAAGATTTAYAATGTACTAAGGATTGTAATAAAGCATAAAAAGGTTTGTGGGATTGTTAAGGACYGTGTGAGAAAATRACCWCTCTCAGGTCAAAATGATGAGATAYTAGGGTTTCAATTTTTTACATCCTGAATAAATATAATGGGCTAATTTRTTACAGCAAACAAGTAATCCTCCCYTTGTATTGCAGCTCTGACTCCATACACGTAACTGGTGSGATCTGTTTCCTTCCAAACAAACTACTCCAAACCCTCATTAACAAATAATTTCTAAAAATATTTCCACTGATCTCTGGCTTCAGATATCCTTGGAAACTACTGGAATTTTAAATTCACCAAAAGACAAAAAATAATGTGTAGAGAAATAGGCAGTGCTTATGAACTGAGGATGGATATGCTCTGTTAGATGGGTCTTATGTTCRGTATTTAATTTTAGACTACATGGACTTAGAAGAAAACTCTGCCTGGCACATAACACACTAAATGCTTTCYAGGGCTTCTCTTGCACGAGAAATATAAGTTTTGTATGCACTGTATGAGTWCTAATATATAGTACCTTGCTACACAGTTAATGAATGAAAGATGAGTAAAACTTGCCACCTGATCAGGTTCTGCTTCAGAATGATAGCCATTGTGTCCATCCTGAATCTCCTGCTTTGCATGAGGCAGCAGTAGGGCAAGAAAGAGGTAACAGCAAAAAAAAATGCAGACAACAGGTGAAAGGACAGAATCTTATCTTTTTTTGTCTTTCCCTTTTTAAAATTTTGTTAAAAAGACAGCATATACTTTAACTCCAGTTTAGCCTTCCAAAATCTTCCACTCCTGGCATTCACTACTTTCCACAGAAAGGAATCCAAATTATTAGCAACATTCTTTTAAAATTACTTGGCACAACACAAAATGAAAAATTTACTCCCTTCTTCACAAAAGAGTCAATGTTGGTAGATAAGAACATAAAAGTATGTACTGTCTTTTTAAGACAAATAACCTCWTAGTGAGGAAAATTAATTTCAAGTATGCCACATGCTTATCAATAGAAGAAATTGAGTACAGCTTGCAATGGCAGCATTACGGGAAAACTCATGCAATCTTTCACAGAAAAAGAATAGGTCGACATCAAATAGAAGTATCTAGACACTTAAAAAATGCTTTACTGTGTAAAACATGTTGTAATTGAACTCTCAACTTTACAGTTTTACATATCTTTCCAGCAACTTCTATGTTGTAGCTTGAAACTTGGCCAGTAACTTTACAGAAGCTAAAATTATTAGTCACAGCAAAATATGCAAACAATTCACATTTCCATGTTAATTTATTTTTGCATCAAAAATGGCAAATCCTGGCAGCAAATCCTGAATATAAATTAAATTTCTTTAATAAACACAAGGTCCTTATGCACACCAGAGAGAAGCACAAATGTCATCGGGTCAGTTGAAGGAATTGTTTTAATACATTCAGCCAAAAATGTTCTTCCRTCTTCCTTCTTTAAGAAGTGGAGAGAAGTTGTGCTCATGACAGTCCRTTACTCCCAGCCCAAATGCAAAGAACTTCTCACTTGGTTGGACTGTAAAATCAGCCTCAGTCTTAATTTACAAAAGTTTGTTAAAGCCAATTTTTCTTTTTAGAGTATTTCTACAGAACCATCAAGAAATAACTCAGAAAAAGGACTTCAGATAGCTTCAGGTWATTTGAACTCTACATGAGTTAAAAAAGTTGTAAGTAATTAAAAAGCCCTTTCAAGTTATAAAGGACTGCTAACATTGAGGTATGGGTAGAATTMTGTTAAACAGAAATTACTTAAATTTCAGATCATAACCATGTTGTTTCTGAAATTTAAAAAAGTAGATGTGATCTCTGTAAGAAAACCAGCAGGACAATGAGCAAATACATCAAAATATTTTAAATATATGAAAGACAGAGAAGCAGAGCAGACCATTCAAATATCAAAGCCTTTACACGTAACTGGAAACAACTGAACAAACCAGTTTTTGTAACTCAACCCAGACCAATAACTTGAAGTGCTATCTATTTAAAAGAAAAAAAGAAAAATATAAACTTGAGGATTTGTATGACTGGACTAAACACATCATTTTAAAATATGCAAACAATGGATGAGAAAAAGAAATCRTTCAGACTTCATCTCTTGGTTTCAGACTGAACAAGAGGTCTTTGTTTAAATAAAAGTGTTGGACACATTTCATGAACAATGTCAGAACACTATCCAGATMATTTCTCACTCCATAAATGTTACTAAGAGAGAGGGGCAAGAAAACAAGGCATGCCCTTTTTAATCTTCAATGAACAATGGGAAAGCTCTAGTCTCAAAATTATCATTAAAAAGATATAGGTCATTGCACTAGTGCCTAACTTCAAGCCTAACTTTCAATCCYATTACAGCCTGGTAAAAACTTATGTAAAACAAGTACAAAGGCAAGCATGAATTTGGAACTTATTTAAATAGGACAGACACAGACATAATGCTTTTACCAGTGGTATTCTTTAGCATAGACATGTTAGAGCTGCTAACACAGTACTCTGCAGTCTGAAGCATGTAAACCTGAATTAAAAGCATCCATTTTGTCAAAATTAATGTAATAAAACTGAAGTTAGTATTGCACATTCACAACATAATTTTAAAATATYGCTCTCTTACACACTGACTTTTATTGCTCACAAAAACATTGTAATGTATATAAAGCACTTCTATGGCAAAGAAGCTGTTGCACTGCATAGCAAAATGGTCTGACTGGTTGATAAAAYCCATTAATGAGGTAAAGAAGAACGCTTGACACACCAAGATCTCACACAGCACAAGAGACACACAGGTAGGAGGCCGTTCACTGCTAGCCAAAKGTAATCTTACCCGTATAACCGGCCTCCTGTATACCTGTTAGTTAAAATATAAAATGTTATCCGATGAAACACACAGATTTGATTTAGTTACTATACCTTATTTCACCAAATTTTCAAAAGAACTCTACTCCCAATCATTTTAAATATAGCTGGATTTTGAAAGAATGAAACAAAACTAGGCAGAACTAGTAACTCTCATTTGCGGAATTATTTTGGTCTAAAAAAAGTAAATCTCAGCCATTTCATTTTACAAACGCCAAACTCTTTGGAAACATTCATTCCTAATGACCCTTTTATCCTGCTACACTGTGCTATTGTTAAAAGAGAAGAAAGAGCTTGGTAATCCTTCTAGGTGAAAGACAATAAGCCTGCACTAACAGCCATGAGGGAGAGCAACCAGACCTTTCAGAGAAAGACAACTCTTCTCAGCTTCTGAAGGTGTTTGTAGTCAGCAACTGCAATCTAAGCCATTTTCATTTATATGAGCCCCTCATTCAATACCACTCTGCAGGCAGAGTRTGTGTCAGAGAAGACACACAGAGCAGAGCTCAGCTCAGACTGAGATCATGCTGCTGTAGAGTTTAGCAAGCAAGAGCTCCCCCAGTGCTCTCCAGTTCTAACCATTACATYAGCAGCCCCTTTGATTCCCTCCTCCCTTAAATCACACCCTGGTAAGGTGAGTCACACTAGAGTAACACTGATAGATACAAGAATCAATATATTTACCTGRTTTTGGAAACATATTAATTTAAACAATAAAAAAAAAGGATGAAAGAAAAAATAAAGCAGTGAGTTCCTGTTAAATTCAGCACGAAGTAACGAAACTGCCTTGATCGGTTCCAGAAGCAAACACACACATCTGACCTGACCTGAAGGTTCTGAGTTGTAAGACAGTCTCTAAATGCAGCAATTAGAGGTAACCAAAGGCAATGAAGACCCAGGGAAGTGACCAATGTGCATCAAAGGAGAAAGATGTCTCAACGGAAAACCGAATTATATATGGGTACTGTCTTTTAAAGTGTGAATTCCACAATAATAATGAACAAACCCAACGTGTTAGTGATACTGACTAAGCAACGATAGAAAATTCCACCAAGTTATATAAAAATATGGGATTTCAAACCGCAGTAATGCAATGATGCTGAATACAATTCATCCACAAAAATTCTTAATTTAAACCATCAGGCTTAAATTCTTTTCTTACATTTCTCAGAGACAGAGAATGAAGCAGAATTTTAATTAGGCCTTAAAAGATTTATTCCTGTTAAATAATATCTGAGATGAGTTTGGTATACAGACAAGAAGTTATTCAAAATTAAACAGTGCTCTTCATTCCAGAGGAATGCATTCTAACTCAAGAGATAAACTGAACACCAAACTTACACACTTGCATTTTACTAAAATGAAATCCTTGGCAAATGCAACATCGACAGCTGTAATGCAAGGTCTSCCACAGTGTTTTACCAAAAATGTTGGCCTTGGCCTGGAGCAAGCATTTGCAATTCAGCTGCTGTAATATGGGAGAGCTACTCTTTACAAGCTGCTGACTGTGCTAATAGTGTGAAACTCTGTGAGGTTGAACTTCTAAGTACACTATAGCCAAAACATTTCAGGCTGACTGTGACCTGCTGTCACTGAATCTAAAATAGGCTGTTTCCAGACAACAAACTTTGTAATCACAGATCATATTTGAATTAAAATCTAGTTAAAACAAAAAAGAGATGAAAATCTTCATTTGGCCATTCTGCATGAAGACAATAAAACTGTTCCAAATTTAGGAAGAAAAGGGGATCCAGATGGTAGCAAGTTGGGCTTCTTAAAGGGAATTGAAACATGGGTGACTTTTGTCACGTTGTGAGAGAAGAAGAACTTCCCATCCTCCTTTGTTGACAGCTGAGTTGGATGGCTGCATGGAGGGAAYGGCCAGTGAGCATGAAAGAACAGGGACACAAAAGCACAGTGGAACTGTCAGGTAAATCATACTGTGCAGTCATTACCTTAGTGACCAAAATGTTGCTGGGAGGGAATGAAAAAGGTGAYGTGTTTGTTTGATGTCAAATTCTGTGTCTCTAGTGAAAGTCCATGAAAAACGAGACTCAGTTATGCTCCCTCAAAGTAACAAAGACATTCATTTATTTCTTGKGAAGTCTGAGGAGCTCAATTCTGTACTCCGAATAACACAAACTAGAAACCATTTCAACCCACAACTATAATCTACTTTAGTAATTATTTTATATAGTAATYAAAAGAAAAGACAACTCACTTTTGACATTTTACTCAAAACATTAATTTTTTAATTTTCCTTTCACCTCTGTTAATTTTTATTCTGTACACTTCATCTAAATACCGAGGAAAACACAAAGCAGATTCAAAAGACTCCTAYGCATAATGAGATATTTCTAGTTCTGAAACATTCAGCAATCACTCAAGTACTTACCACCTGCTAATCAAGACAGCAACAACCTTTCCATTTTTAACACTTTTATCTTAAAACAAATAAATGCATTCCTCAAGTCACTTACCCTGTAGTCTCTGGACACACCCTCTGATGGGACAGACCCTGAAATCTGACTYGAAATGGTTGCAGCTATCAACTGTTTACACCATTCCACGTGGGATCCAGTCGGGCTACAAAAACAGAAGTTTCAAATTATTTAGCAGGAATTCAAAATGTGTCTTTTGAACAGCATAGCAACTGAGCAGATCAGAACTCAACACTGTAGGTGATCACTAACATCATAAAACTTAAATTGCATTGTGGGCAGAATGCAAATATTTTAGTGATCAAATTAGAAAAAAGAATTTTAATAGATCATCTCAGAGACACAGAGCTGTCAGGAGGCCAAAAGTAAGGTTAAGGTCCTAGGAACTTAAAAAAATGTTATGTTCTTTATCCAATGAAATCTTTATCATTCACACACTTTTCTTAAAGCCATCCATGGAATGAGTTTGGTCAAGTAATAGGAAACTCWCTTATACTGTCCTTATTAATATATYCTGATTATTATGTATATCYTCAGAATTAAATTACTCTATGCTAGCATTAAAAAGATTAAACTATGCAACTGTTGTATTACACATTAAATGTTGAAAATACACATTTTCTAAAGGGAAATTTCTGCTTAGCTGCATTTTTTTCCCGATTAACAAAATTAACTGATGGGCCTTCCCATGCCACAGCACTGAATTCTGCAGCGTGTTTATAAGAACCCTAAAGGATGTAAGAATCCTGAAACATGCTAAACTCCAGAAGAAGCAATTTGAGAACAGTCCCCTGAACAAGGCCTGCTCACAAGYAATGCAGTACTGAGAGGGAGAAGCAATGACAGCCTGATGTGCACTACATTTGCTTCAACACACATTGGTCTCTAAGGAAAAACTGGCAATGCCCGAGGRAACTGTTCCCTGAGTGTCACCAAAGCCTCAGCTGATACCTTAGAAAACTGCAACTTTTCTTCAAACCATTCAGCAGGGCTCTTCTRTAGACTGGATGCTTATTCAGAAGTCAAGTACAGAAAAAAAATTCTAATTTTTTTTTTGTTATTTCATAAACTAGCTTTGGATTCTGTGAGTGTCCCGTGATAGTGAATATACTCATAAATACCCAGCACACAGCAGGTGCACCACACCTCAGRCATTAAATGGGTGGGGTAAAAGCCTTAGATGACCAATTACTACCCAGAGATCTTTTCTTATATTAACTCTGCCAGTATAGGTAGGTATAGGGCAGAGATCCATGCAACAATTTCATACCTGAAAAGGAAGATTTTTCAAAATTTTTCTGATGAATATTAATAGCTTTCTCCCCACCCACACATTCTACACAGGACTAGATCTCACAACGTTGTTTTGCAACTAAAACAAATCTATGATAGTCCTGGTTGAACAACAAAGACAACCCTCAGATTAGTGCTGAACTCAAACCCAGGTTCACTTAGAGAACCCTTCACTTCAGTTTTTGCAAAAGAGCCCAAGGGCTAAATCCTACAGTAATCCTTTTCTTATCTCATTTATTTCTCCCTCTCTCACATCTCTTAATTTCCARTGTATCACTTTAGGGCTTGCCTAAGTTTGTTTTCAAATAAGCACTCACTTGTTAATTAAGAAAAGGATTTATTTTTCTATGGCTTATCTTCACCACGAATCACTACAYCAACAGAGCGAACAGCAGCAGGAAAACGAACGGGAATGCAGGAGCATCCCCTGAGACCAGTGTGGGGGATGTGTCAGCGCTCCACAGAACACTGATCACACCAATGGGGCACACACCGCTGTCTTTCCATTCTGTCCCATCTGCAGTCACACAGACTAGCGTGGCCTGGTACAACCACACTGCACACAAATAAACTATATGACAAATGGACATTGTAACTGACCCAAGGCGGAGTAAGATYAGGAGAGGGACAGAAGATTAAAATTAGAAAGAAAGTGTATTAATAAGGAATACAAAGATGTATGTTTTGATGATAGAAAATKGACATAATTTCCATCCCCACTAGAATGATGTAAAACCCCAGATTTCTCCTAAACAGAAAAAGAGAGAATATAGGGATTGGAACCTGGCACTGGTTTTAAATATTCTTTTTTTATTTAGTTTTCATCATGGTGAGATTTCTGTTCATTTCTACGCTTTAAGGATTTTTAAGCTCAGTTCATAAGTCTGCCTTCAGCTSGAAACTTCTGAGTGAAGGAATGTCTCTGCCAGCTGTGCTGGAGACATGGTCACACCTGGTGCCCAGTGCCTGGCACCGTTCTGGTGAGACCCTGCGGACCCACGGCCAGCCGGGGACTCAAGAGGCACCGCACGCACCTAAAGACAGACGGACAGCAAACCAGAAACACCGCACACACCTCCAGACAGACGGACAGCACACCAGAAACACTGCACACACCTAAAGACAGACGGACAGCACACCAGAAACACACTGCACACACCTCCAGACAGACGGACAGCACTCAGGGACACACCGCACAGGGAGGGGCACAGAGGTGCCTGGGGACAGTCACACTTCTGCAGATTCAACACGCGCACGAAAAAAACCCCAATCGAAACAGACTCAAAACCCGCGGACGGTCTCAGCCGGAGTTTGCATGACGCTGCCCCAGCCCCCAGGCCAAAGCCCCGCGGCCACCTCAGCCTCGGCCAAGACGGCGGCGGCACTGCCGGCACACGACAACCGCAGCAGGAAACTTTGACAACAGCCGGTTCCCGCCGCGGACCATCCGCCGCTGCACAGCAGCCGCCCCCAGATTGCAGCTCCGCGGGCGGGAGCAGTCTGGGGTGGCTGCCCCGAGGCCGGGGGGCCGCGCTCGGCCGGGGCTCGGGCCGAGGGGCGCTGAGGGGCGCCCGCCGCCTTCCCCAGCCCGGCCCGGCGGGGCGCACAGGCCGCGGCGCCCCCTCTCCCGCCGC